GAGTCTTGTCTCCAGTCATGTGTTTTGGGCATCAACTATCAAGGTACCATGGATTCTTTTTGCTTGAATTTTCTTTATAGTAATGCTCATCTATCTACAAAAACATAATTAAATTTTTGTTTTGGGTACCCAAATTTTCTCGGGTCCTTAAGTGTTAGTACTAGCAAATTTTGTGCCTTTTGAAATCTATTTCATTTTAGTAATCTCATCTTAAGATATGTTAACTCTTTTTGGAATCCACACTCTCCTAATGAGCTTACCTCTATAAGTGACTTTCTTCAAGGAATAATATTGTATAGAATAAGCCAATTTATGACAATATGCACATATGCTAGATGAATAATTTAGCTTAACAAAAAAATTCTTTAAATAAGTCTCTTTGTTGCCACCATTATAACCTAATCCATCTTTATCAAAGAATGCTCTTTGTGTTTCAAGCATGTCAATGAGCTTTTGATGTCCCATATAAAATCTAGAAAATGAATTATGCAAATTTTTATTTTTCTTAGTTAAATCATTGACATTCAACTTTAAGAGCTCAATTTTTTTTTCTAAGTCATCATTTGTTTTAGTCAAGAATTCATTTTCTAGTTTCAACTTAGAGATCATTTTTTATATTTCATGTTCATGTTCTCAAATTCTATGGCTAATTCATCATAAGCATCTTGCAATTCATCAAATGTGTATGAATTTAAATCATATGGATTAAAGGTTACCTTAGGCTCATCAAGAGCCATGAGACATATATTTGGTTACTTCTTTCTCATTTGATTCATCTTCGAAGAAGTCTTTATCACTCTATATTACAACCATTGCTTTCTTCTTTGGCTTTGTCATGTTTTGCTTCTTCCATAAAGGACAATCAAATTTAATATAACCTGGTTTGTTGTATTCATAGCAAATAATCTACTCCCTTTCTCTTCTACTTGATTTTTTTTTAATCATTTCCTTTTATGGTCTTCTTTTACTTGAAGACTTATTTATCCTCATGAACTTCTTGAATCTTTTTGTAAACATGGCCATCTTTTCATCTTCATCATCCTTTTCATGTCTAAGATTTTTTTTCATCTTCTTTAAAGGATGATTTGATAGCAATGCCACCTTTCTTGATTGGTTCTTGTCCTTTTTTGAGCTTCATCTCATAGGTAAAGAGAGAACCCATTAGTTCATCCAAAAAGAATGTGTCAGAATCTTTGGACTCTTCAATGGCTGTCATTTTAGCTTCTTAGCTCTTTGGTAGACTATTAAGAATTTTTTTCACCATCTCCACATTTGAGTAAGTCTTCCCAAAAGCCTTTAAACTGTTAATGATGTCAGTAAAAGGGTTTAACATTTCATTAATGGTTTTGTCTGGTTTCATCTTGAATAACTTATAATCATAAATAAACATGCTAATTTTTATCTTTTTCATTTGATTTGTACCTTCATGAGTGATAGCTAATTTATCCTAAATTTTCTTTGCATTTTCACATAAAAAAACTCTATTGTACTCATTAGGCCTAAATGCACAAGAGAGTATATGCATTGCTTTAGCATTAAGTTGAGCCATTTTCATATCATTAACATCTCATTCACTCTCTTGCTTGATCATCTCCTTACCATCCACCATCTTCATTGAAATTTGAGGACCATTTATAATGACCCTTCAAACTTTATAATCATTGGCTTGAATATACAACCTCATCCTAGTCTTCTAATAGGAATAGTTGTCACCAACAAAGAGAGAAGGTTTTACAATTGAATGGCTTTCACTTTCAAGAGATGTAGCAACTGTTTCATTTGTCATGAGGCATACTTCTTATTGCCCATTATATTTGTTGTAGCTTGAGGATGGTTGTTCTACATTGATCACTATATTTTTTGAGCCATTTTCAGGATCACTCTTGGGTTGTTAGACCTACAAAAAAGAGTACTAGCTCTGATACCAATTGTTAGCTCAAAGACTTGAAATAAACCAAGAGAGGGTGAATTGGTTGATAATAAAATTTTCAAAAATCAATACTTAATAAGCACAAATTCTGCAAAACAATTTATCTAAGCAAATAAATACAATAAATGAGAGTAAACTAATAATCTTAAAAATAAGAGATAGAGAAAGAGAATTAGACATTAAGATTTATAAAAGTTTAATCCTTTCTTTAGGCACTTATGTCCTCTCCCTTAACCTCACTTGCCAAGGAGTTCAATCCACTATGTGTTAAAAGATACAACCTAGCTTTTCAAAGCTTTGCACAATCAACATCACAAATCTTAAGGTTATCTTCCCTCTTAAGCTTACAATCTCACAATGGAAAATTTTTGAAGTGTTATGCAAACTTAAAGAACCTCTCTAAGGTTGGGTATTTGCTAGCTTGAAGTACAAAGTAATATTGACAAGAGAATTTAGGAAAAACTGATACAAGTGAGATTTTTTGTACTTTTCTTTTTTTTGACCTAGTTTGAATGTTTGAGTAAGATGGTTGGTGGAGGCAATAAGTTCTTTTAGTTATGCATACTTTTGATTTATAGTAGAAGCCTTTATTTATATGTAGAAAAGAGTTGATAGCCATTACCTTGCGTTTAATGCTTCAAACCTACAAAATATCAGACAAATAAATAGCTATTGGGGCTTTCTGGGCAACAGGAGATCGATCCCCTCATGTAGAGGATAGATTGGGTTAGTTATGTGAAAGCCCATTTTCGTGTCTTCAAAAGCTTACTTGATCGATCAAGTAATATACCTAATTGATCTCATGCTTGGGTGATCGATCCCCTATTTGAAGGGATTGATCCCTTTGGTGGATTTTTAAATGATGATAATATTCTATGTAAAAAATAGATCGATCCCTTTAAGGAAGGGATCGATCCCATGTCGATCAATCCCATGCCTAGGTGATCGATCCCCTTATGTGGGGGGATTGATCCCTTTTGTGGATTTTTAACCCCATTTTGCATTCTGTATAAAAAACAGATCGATCCTTTTAAGGGAGAGATCGATCATGTAAGTTCAAACCGCAATCAATTGATCTCTATAAGAAGGGGATCGATTGGTTCTTACTAAAATTTCATGAGTTTATCTTCTGGAAGAAAAATAGATCGATCCCTTTGGCTAGGGGATCGATCGGGTAAGGGAGGGGATCGATCCCTTCCTTTAGGGGATCGATCCCTTATATCCAAAACATGCCTTGATCATTTTGTTTCGAGAATTTGTTTTGTTTTAGTTTCTAAATGAATTTTGGCAATATATAAGGCTGAAAAAAATATTGAACTTAAGATTATGAGAATTTGATTCAAGTTAGGCAAATTTTTGTTTTATCAATTCAAAACTTTTAATCAATTCAAGGCTAACAATTTAGTATTAATATTTGAATCTTACTCTAATTAAAGAAGTACTATCTATTAAATATTCAAATATGTTGTTTAACTTTTTTGTCAAAATATAAAATAAATAAGAATTAGATTTAAAATTCAAATTCATTCTTAATAAATAACAAATAAAAGTTATTTATTAAGGTTCAAATCATTCGCAAGCATAAAATTTACATATTTTGCATTTGGGTATAGATTTAGATATCCGATACTATTTGTTAAATTTTAAATGGATTCGGGAATTGGATATTCAAATGGTGCTATTTCAAATTTGGCACTAATAGTAAACCTCATATCAGAATCTAATAATTATAATTTTATAAAACTTCGTTTGTTTTGCAAAAAAATGATTTTAATAAAAAAAGACTTTCGAAAAATTATTTTTGTATTTTTTAAATTTGTTTGGTAGAAAATTAATTAGTTACTAAAAAATGACTTATTGGTAAATGACAAATGAGATCATTTTTTTGAAAATTAAAAAAGAGATAATTTTCGAAAAAAACCCATCTATGAGTAGGGCTTCTTACCAAGGTTAGAAGCATAGTTCAACTTAAGCTAGACCTTCGACATGGTTTAACCCAAGATATTGTTATGTTAATAATATTTTTAATAAATTTACTTTATAAATTTTAAAATGTTAATATTAAAAGTTTTTTAATATTTTAAATTTGAATATTTCTATGTTTATACTCAAGGAGGATTTTGAACATGATTTTTTAAGTTAGGATTTAATTTTAATGACCTAAAATATTATTATATTAATAAAAAGTTTTAGATTTAATTAAAAATTTTAAAATATTAATATTAAAATTTTTTTATATTTTAATTTTAAATATTTTATTTTGTATATTATTAAACATAAATATTTTTAATATTTCAATAATAAGTAGCATTATATTATTATTTTAAATATAATATTAATATATTAAATAATATTTTTTATTATTTTAATAATTAATATTATTTAACATAATAATATTTTATTAGTTTATTTTTTAATAATTTCTTAATACTTTTCAATTTAGAATATGTTAGTTTTATATTTTTGACAAATGTATTTATATTTATATTTTAATAATAAATATAGTTAAGGAACATTTTTGTTGTTTGTTGTTTAATAATAAATGATTTTAATATAAAATATAACTAATTTAATAGTATAAATATTTCAATATTTTAATAATAAAAGATATTTTTAATAATATTATATTAATATAAATAATATTTTAAAAATAGTAATACTATTTTATATGTTTTAAAATATTCATATAAATATAATATTGAATAGTTTTATTTTAATTGTTTAATATTATCTAATATTTTAATTTTAAATGTTATTATTAAAATATAAAATTTTTGAGTATTAATAGTTTTAGTAGTAAATAATATCATATATTTTAATAATAAATAATTTTTTAATATTTTACTTATATGTTTATATTATTAAAAAAATAAAATTTTTAAAAATAATCAAATAAAAAAAATTAATTTTTATTTACTCGTTCAAATAACAAAAAGACCTTTACTTTTGTAAATATATATATATATATATATAAAATAATTTCTCAAAACCGATTTTCGCAAAACAAACTATATTTACCTAAATCCAACGTAATTAAATGGAATCGTACCAATATTCTATTATTTATTATCTTGTCATATCTACGTAATCTTGAAAAGAACCTTGAAACGGGCCTAAGGCCTGAGACGCCAGCGGCCTATATGGAGAAAGTTTGGGTGCCGACTCCAGATTGTATAGTAAAATAGAGGATGGCAAACCCTAGGCGAAATTTGTACTCAATCAACAACCAAAACTTGGAGAACCCATTTCAGTTTCAGACCCAAAGCTTGTCTTCACTGTCATCTGTGAAACACTTGCTGAAAAAGCCCCAGGCATTTCCCTTTCTACTATTGTTGCTCCTGTTGCTGACATGGGTCTCTCTAAGATTGCAGTATTCTTCTCCTTCTAAGCCTGAGCAATGGGACAAAGATGATGATGATGGCGACGACTTTAAGGCCAATCTTTTCCGATTCAAGGCTGGGCTACCTTCAGCTATTGTCAAGGACAAACGTGGCTGGCTGCTCAATCCTGTCTCTATTGCGCTTCAGAATGGCGTCAAAGGTCCATAACCATTTACTTACGTTCTATTGTCAAGGATCAGATGCTTAAGACTAAAAGCTTTTTTGCATGCTACACGAATCATTAACAAAGACTGTATGGCTGTAGCAAAATGTTCACCTGGTCAGAATTCTTGCGGAAATCAAGTGAATTTGGCGGCTTTGTTTGCTTACATCAAAACGGCTGATGTCGGGGGAAAATGGCTTTTTTTGTTTTTGCATGCATTCTCTAAATAGACAGTTATTTTTTTGCCAGCTCAGCTTGAACCAAGTCGTAAACACAAATTAGTTGGAAATGTCCACATGAATTCTCTTTCTGCATTCTGTTGTAGTTCACTCTATATCCGCTGAAATAACTATGAATGCCATACCCTTTTTATTACTTCAAACAATGTGATCTTTGGTCTATGAAATTGCTCTTTTGTGTGTGAGCACTGCCCAAGACAAAACCATGTATATCATCCTTCTCTTGATTAGTTTTGGCTGTCTGCTATAAAACTACGTCTAAAGTTTGGTTCTGTAGACATCTATTAAGGAGACTTTTGGCTTCCTAAAATTTCGTTCTGTGTTACTCAAAGTTACCATTAGATGGGCTTCCATACTTCGTTCTTTTAGATTCCACATTGTTTCAGAATTTCATTCTTTCTTTACACACATGTGCTCGCATTGATTTTAACCTTCATTTACATGTCTATAGTGATTTTCTTAGGGGTGTATTTTCTTGCAGGTGGCGCAATGTCTTGTGTTCAGGTACACATAGGTGAAATTCGACCTGGTGGAGTGAGAGGAAATCACAGACACTATGCTTGTAATGAAACATTTGTCATTTGGGGAGCTAAGACAAAGTTCAGGGTATGCTCTTTTCTCGTGATATAGCATTTTTATTCTACGTCATTCAGACGGGTTCGCCTTGTTGGACTAATTAGTCATTCTAGGTGTCACATTTTCATTATCAATGTTAATACTAGGGGTATATCATATATTTCTGGAGGAACTACTTAATTTAGCCTGCCATAAACAGAAAATATATGTTTTATTTCTTTTAATGAAAGCCAGTCAGTATAAACTTTGAGAAATTCTGATTATGAGACATGGAATTAATGTATATAAAGTCTTCATAGCAGATGTGTTCACACTTGTTCTTGTCTTAAGAAATCTTGGATTCATTGGATTAGAAAATGATTTGCTACTCACATACTAATTATTAATTTTGTAGTGCTAGTATACTGTAGGTGTGGAAACAGTGATTTCTTGGTGCAAATTCCAGCCTTGTTTGATTTAACTCCTTCTAGAACACTGTGAAGATGGTGGAAGACCAACTAGTATTGATACAAAGCTAATCCCATTTCTTGTTGAAAAAACAATTAAAAGTATTATCTATTGTTGTCTATCTACTGTTACATAAATTTTCTAATGCTTTGATTAATTCAAGCCCCTTTTTTAGTCTAGGAAGAACTTGAAACTAGGTAATGATACAATGTACTTGTAATGGAAGTGTGATCTTGTTGAAAACTGGAAAGTTAATCATAACTTCTTCTTTTTTATATATTCCCCAAATGGTGAGGAAATGCAAGTGATGCAGAATAATCAAGGAGAAGAGGTGATAACACATCATTGCTTGGTTAGATAAATTTCATCCTTTTTTGAAGCCAAGGTTTAAAGTGTTTTGTCAGCAAAAACGTCCTTTTGGTCTGAGTGAGGATGCCTCCATAGCTAAATAAACAAGAAAGTAAATTTTGGTGTTCAGGGGGTATTTTGGTAATTTCATTTTATTGATTTCGGTTTAGTGGTCCAATGGGACTTATTTTGGGTTTAGCATTTCCTTGTATTGCTCGAATTGGCGATTGAGTTTTAATAATGAAATAAGTTGTTGATAGTTCTTGGAGGCTTTGTGATTAGTAATTGAGTTTTCTTCCTCATGCTTCTTATGGTACTGCAAGATACTGTTCTCAGCTTTGAGAAAATGGCCATAACCTGCCCTATTATTTCTATCCCTCCCAGAAGATTCCTGCAACCTTTTCTTGACATCCTGCCCTTGTTTGAGGTGAAATCTCAATGGATTCAAACCTTAATTGATTCCCTACTTTTCAGCACTTAGCCCTCCATAAATCCTAAGTAGGTATATTTCCCCAAATCTGTCTAATATCAAAGAGCAAAGAAGTAGTGGAAATATAGGGAAGAGGTGGTTGGGGGCTGGGGAGGGGAGAGTCAGAGAGAAATGAGTGGAAAGAACAAGTAGAGAAATATCCAATTTCAACAACTCAAATCTCAATAATTTATTTCCTAAAGTTGCTCTGAAATTGAAAATAATATTAGTATTTCTAACACTAGTGCTTTATGAACTAAAGGCTGGTAGAGTGATGAGATTAGTAGGTCATTAGATTGAAAACGATGGTGGCTGTGAGAATGACAATAGTGCGAAGAGATTGGGAGTTGTAGTTGTGAGATTGAAACTAGCCGTGAGTTAATGTTTGTTTGGTAAAACCATTGGTGGTAGTATGATGAAAAGAGAAACATGACTGTTAAGAGCATTAAGTAAATATTGGATGTATTTATAATTCTACAAATATTGGTGAGGCAGCCAATCTTTCTCTTTCATGTCTTTCTTTAATCTCAAACTAGCATTTTGTTCTTTGCTTCCTTCATTATATTAAGATCAAGGTATAAGATAAAGAAATTCAAGATCTGTTATTAGGAGTGGTGATATGAAGTCTGGCATGGTTAAAGTTAATTTTTCAAGTTTTCTCTTTCTTATTTCCATTTGATTCAACCAGACGGTTCAAATTCAGTATTTTATGATTTTCCCAGTTTTTGATAGGTTGAGAATATTACTAGACTTTGTGTTGTCAATGGTTTTCATGAAGCCAATTCTATTTGCTGAGTCACTTGCTAAACGAAGGGTTTATATAGTAAGAAAGTGTTTGATGCACAAGATTATAATAGAATAGGATAAGATGATATTATGAATAGGATTAGATTAAATAATGTCATCTTATCTTGTGTTTGATGAGTGCAAGGATTAGGATAGAATAGTTTATTTATTGGTCACAATTATCCTTCCTCCAAGTTTATACAATATAAATTATCGATGTGATTTTTAAGGGTATAATAATACATGTAAGTTTAATCTTATAGATTAAAAATAATCTTCTTCACTTTGGAAGGATTGAATCATCTTACGCCAAAAGGATGATTAATCTTCCTTGCAATCCTATCTTTTTTAGATGCAAACTAAATGATTATCATCCTATCCTATCCATCATTTTATGTACCAAATATGACCTAAAAGAATTAGTTGCCTGGATTTTTTAATTCACTCAATTTCCAGTCTCAAGATCAAACTTAATAACTTATGTGGTTTGTCCCTTTGTTTCAGTTTTCACTTCGGGTTTGTTTCATGCAATCATGCTCTCATTTTGCTTTCTGTTGTTCTATGGTCAATCATTCTTTAGCTTGACGCTTTCTCAATATACCTAATGTCCTGTTTTTGTTGATATATTATTTTCTCTCTATAATAAAATTTCTTTAACTTTTCAAAAGGAAAAAGATGATATTATGTGATAGTTGCATAGAATCCAAGTATATGAAAAATGTCTTAGATATAGTTATATTTTGATGTATAATATCAACTTGCACCAATTGCAGTTGGAAAATAATCAAACGGTTAATAGTGGTTATGCTGAAGTGACAATTGGGGTGGATGAAGTTGCTGTTGCAGCTAGCCCTAGTGGAATAGCCCATGCTCTAGTAAATATCGATGCCTTACGCAGCACATTCTTTATGGGCTGCCAAGACAGTAGGGTGAACTCTAACAGCTCGAATACTGATTTTGCTGTGTGGAAAGATCTTTAATTAAGTGTTACTATGTGATTGATGAAGCAACTGCCCTATTTACCTGCTTTAAATGGAATGCATCCTTTTTTTTTTTTTTAATGCAATTACAATTCCAGTAATTCTAGAATCAAATATACATGTATATATTGCACATCTTGTGTTTTGTTTAGTTCAGTGGCGAGTATTTGTTGGTTCATTCATTCATATTTTGAAAGTGAGTCTGTAACTTCACTGGACAGATGATACTGACACATGTTGCAACAGATGTGGATGTATTTTGACCAATGAGATTATCAGTTGTAGGTTTACTGTTTACATATCTACCTAAAATGTTATGTTCAGCTATATATTTATAACCTTGTGCCAGAATACGAGTAGGGCATCTTACGTTAAATGTGAAGATCTTTTCATGACTGGGGTACTTGCATCTTTCATATTACCTGTTTTGGTGGGTTTTCCACATACGAAATTATATTTGATGACTAAAATTATTTTAAATTATAAATAATTGAAAATTTTCTTCTGACACTTGGGTTACGTTCGGTAACTTAGATTTACCAAACTTAGATTTCGAAGGGAATTTTATTTAAAATTCGTATATATTGTGTGATAAAGCAAGATATAATTTTCGTGATTATTTTTTAAATTCTTGGATTTGTTTAATGCTAAGTTATAGGGGAATTTGAAATACCTAAAGGTATTTGTAAATTTGAAATTGATCTTTTTACATCTTTCAAATGTAAAGGTATATTGAATTTTAACTGGTTTATCGATGGTGCATGCATGCCATTCTTATAAATTATATAACAAATTGAATTCAAATTCATTTCTTCAAGTTCATGTCTCCTACCATAGCATTGAAGACATTCGAAATGGGGAAATTTTATCTGTAATTTTTTTTTCTCTTTATAGTTAACTGCTAATTAGCTCAAGACAGTCAATTGGATACTGTCAGCATTTACATTTTTATTATTATTATTTTTTAAATGCATATTTGAAAAAGTTTGACTTTCTGAAAATGTAAATTTGGTAAATTAAAAATTTTTTGGATATGTATTTTCGTAAAAGTTAAAATCTTTTGAATATGCATTTCATGTCATATAAACAATATTTTAGAAATTATTTACATATACGGAATTTTGTTTCCGTAAGTTACACAAATATTTGGATATGCATATTTGAAATGTGCATTTGTTTTTGAAATTTCACTAAAAATCGTGGCTCAAAATGTTAACTTTTTGTTTACGTATTTAATGTTCATTTTCGACGTACTCTAATCTAAGAGCATCAATATTTGATTTAGATCTGTACAAGGAGAAGATGAAGTTTGCGGTTTGTAAGGTCCGGTCAAGAGAAGGAAAATTAAGCGTGTTGAAGGATTAAAAATAATTTCAATAGGGATAATTAGGTAATTTTTATTAGGAGTAATTTTGTCATTAAAATTTTTAAAATTTTTGGTTGCAAAAAGCAATAAAAATGGGTGCATATAGAATTTTCTTTCAAAGTTACATATGTTTTGGTTGATTTTTATGTACAAGTTATATTTGATGAGTGATATTATTTTAAATTATAAATAGTTTAGCTAGATTGGAAATTATTTTTTCTTAAATTTTACCAATTATATGTCTTTTTGAATTGAAAATATTTAGAGAAAAAAAAAAAGATTAGCAAGAGTTTATTTTATCCACTTCGAAAACCTATATCATTTTTAAGGGCAAAATTATTTTTCCTTCGAAAAGTCCATAGTCCCTAAAATTATTTTTTAGTTTTTTTTTCTTCTCTATTTTCCTGTGATGAGCTTAGCGAGGCATAGCAATGGTAGAACGGCGATGATGAAGTTTAACTGCTACAGAGGACTGGAAATTGATTCTAAAAAGGAGAAAACTGAGCTGAAAACCAAGTCGAAGTAAAAAAGAATTGAGCTAGGAAAGGTGATGACAAAGCAGAGAAGAAAGATGGGATGAGCCAAAGTTGGAAAAAGCTGAGCTGAATGAAGCAAATCCAAGGAAGAAGCTGAGTGCTGACAAGCCTGGTGCTGACGACAAGGAAACAGACAAAAAGGCTATAGTAACCGTTGAGGCTGAATTGGCAATTGGTGATTAGTTCAATTACAAGGAATTTGTTTTGGTGGTTGTCATATATTTTATCTTTATTAGATAGAATTTAGAGGAATCTGATATGGAATTGTAGCACAAGATTGTGCATATATAGCCATAGTTTTGTAACGATCAAAAGTTAGAAATGAAAATATTATAGTTTTTCTCTATTCTCTCTTTCCTCTGGTCTCGTTTTCTTCTTCTATTCTTCTGGTCCTTCTTCTATCTTTTTCTTCCTTTTTCTTTTCTCTAGTTTATCAAGTTACAGTCATTCTGTGACAAATTGGTATAAGAGCTCTTTAGATCCATTCACACTAGGAAAATCTAAAAAGTAACCATCCATGGCTAAAGGAACCAGGTTTAATGTAATCCAAGAGCAAGTTCAGCCTTAGAAGGGCAAATGGAGTCCACTGTTCAAGAGCTCCAAGGGCAAATCCAAATTCTTCAAGGGCAAATGGAAATGGTTCCTAAATGGTGGGAGGAACAACGAAAAAGCCTTAAGGATAAGTTGGTGGCTGCAAACCAAAACTACATCAATCAGGTCCTTGATCTGTTGAAACCAAAGGGAGCAGCTATAGCATGTTGAACCAGCTGTGAACCAGCTGGAACCGCTGCTGCTACAAGTAGCCAACCCAACCCGATATCACAACCCAAGAAAGGAGGTAAAGCTTCTATTGAAATTACAGTAGTTGGTGAGCAAGGAAAATACACTCACAAGACTAATGAACTTGGTCTATTAACAAAAATCAGCTTGAAAATAGTGGTTGTCTTCTTTTCAATAGTGTTGCACAGTATAAACTTAATGAACCTATGATGGAAAACACTAGTTCTGGCAGCGCTAATGTTTTTTCACAAAGGCCTAAAACAGAATTGCCAAACTTTGATGAGGATAATCCAAGAGTATGGATTAAGAAATGTCAGAAATATTTTGGCATATTTCAATCTCTGATCACCAGAAATTAGAGATAGCTGCTATGTACCTAGTAGGGAAGGCAGAAATATGGTTTGATGGTTACATCATGCAAAAAAACAGTTTCTTGGCAAGAATTCACTATTGATCTATGTCAAAGGTTCTGTGACAGAACTTATACTAAGGTCATTGAAGAGTTTAACAAGTTAACATAGAGAACCACTGTTGAAGAGTATCAAGAAAAGTTCGAAGAACTTAGGCCCTATATGTTATAGTACAATCTAGATTTACCTAAGGGATATTTTGTGTCCAGCTTTAGCTTTAAAGAAGATCTTAAGCCTAGAGTTAAGGCAAATGAACTTGTTACTCTTACTGCTGCCTATAGACAAGCCAAGCTACGTGAGTTGTCCACAGACTTTGAAAACAGAAGGCACAAAGAAATCATTAGACCAAACCTTGTTTTCCAACCTTAACTCTCTGTCAGAAAACACTTATAGCCCTTTAAACCAAACCCCAAAACCTTCGCTTAACCCTTCATTCAATACTAGTAAATAGACCCTTATAGAATAAAAAAGGGCTCAAAACCTCTACTTCAGGTACGGTGATAGGTCTGTACCTGGTCATACTTGTCAGAACAAGTAACTAAATTTCATTACAATGGACGAATTAATAGAAGAGGCAAAAGGAAAGATGGATGAATATAATGACACCGGACAAGATGTTATTAATGAGAAAGAAGTTACTAATGGTAGCATGGAAATTTCTCTTAATGCCTTAATTGGAAATATTGTTTATAGTGCTTTCAGAATCCAAGGGAATATCAAAGGTAGGCTCCTCAACATACTAATTGACAGTGGGAGTAATCATAACTTTGTAACTGCAAGGCTGGCTAAAAAAGGAGTTGAATTAATGCATACTAAACCTTTGGTCGTCATTATAGCTAATGGTGAAGGGTTATACAGTACTGCTAAGTGTCAACAGTTGAAGTGGATAATGCAGGGAGACCAATTCGGTCATGATTTCAAAGTTGTCAGTGAGGGGTAATGACATGGTGCTTGGGGTAGATTGGATGAAAAATTTTAGTTCTATGATATTTGATTTTACCAATATGTCAGTCACATTTTATAAAGAAGGGCAACAGGTGACACTAAAAAAGGGTAGCAGTGGAGTCTGACTAAGCTTATATCTATAGGGAAATTACAAGTACCAGCTGGTAAGGACTTTGAATTGTTGGCGAATTATTTCTACTAAGTGTGGATTGTGATGAGGCTCATATTCCACCAAGACTAGAACCATTATTTGTCACTTTCAGTAACTTGTTAAAGGAATTAATTGGTCTGGCATCAGCAAGAGTGTATAATTATGGCATTTCTATCAAAACTGGATTTCAATTTTGCTATGAATCCATCAAGCGGGCCACTGACTTGCATCCTCTAATTACTGAAAAAATTGAGGAAAGCTATGTTTTTTATGACCTTGGAAAAAAGTATCTTAACTCCTTTGTTGGTCCATGGTGTACAACATTAAGAGGAAATGAACCTTGTCTTGTGACTGCCGCAATTGCGCAATTGAATAAACTGTCATTTTACCCTTCCTTTTGGAATTGGACTACAAAACCATCACTAGGACTTCTTGAAGCTTTTAATGTGAGTAAAATGGCTAAAGTCTTCTTCACGAACAGTGTATCAGAAATGCTGCATGGGAAGACTACACAAAATTGAGCTCATAGCTTTAAGTTTTTGATCCTTGGGGATAAGGATCCTTTGAAA